GACAGACGTCAGCTGCCCTGGAAATAAAGAAACGGATGCTGGATTAGAACAAATGTTTGAGGAGGATGTTGGGCATTGAGAAGAAGAATCTTCTGTAAAGTTTTATAATTCAGATGTAATGTAAATGTGTAACTTCACGGTAGCGGCGTGATGTCGTCCCAGTAAGAACCCACACAGCTGCCTCTGTCCTGACGAGCTGCGTGGGGCGAGTTCACACAAAGTTCAGCTCGCGCAGAATAAAACTCATCGTTTGAACATCCCGAATTCAATTTACACTCAAAACGAAGTGGCTTTATGTTATTTTAACAAGTTTTCACGAAGCTTCGTTCTAAAGATCAAGTTTCTTATGATAAGGGTTGGCACGTTGGTCTTTGACAGATGTTTACATCTGCTCACATGGTTTAACGCTGCACCATTGTAAATGTATAAACAGTGCTTTAAAAAAAACTCATGTAGATGTTTGAACTTTTTGGATCGACTTCTGACAAACTTGTTAATTTTCTTGAAAGTCTGACCTGTGCAGCAGGTGCAGGTGTGTCCGGCCTGTTGAGACGCACCTTTGATCGTGTTTGAGTTCGGTTCAGACCACGCGCCCAGACCCTGCAGGTGTTTGTTAGGCTGTAATCTGTGCTGCTATCAGAAGTATGATTTGCTGTTGTGCACGCAGGCTGTCCTTAAAAACAAAGGTGGAGCTGAAGAAGCTGCGCTTCTTCTCCATCCCTCATGAAGGCCGCTCTGTTTGCACTCACCCTGTCAGCAAAGAGCTCCTGGACATCCAGAAGAAGGCGGGTAGAACCCATCTGTTTGTTTAACCCGTCAGCACGCTGACGTTTTCATCACAAGCTGAACTGCAAACAGGATTTTTCTCAGATTAACCGCCTCACGCTGCAGGTGGTGGAGCGTCTGGAGGCGGATCTCGGAGTGAAAGTCCAGCAGGTGCGTTTACCTGAGCTGCGCTATGGCTTCCAGATCTGGAACATGTACATGGGTCTTCCTGACCAGGATGGGAACGTAAGTCCACCTGAGCCCTGAACTTGAACTCACCAACTGCTCATCTAATAGACTTTATTAAAGAAAAACACATATTCTTTAAATTTGGTCACTTTATGAGATGCTACAGAATCTTTCAGCTCTTTTAACAAAAACATATTTCTTACACAAGTTTGCTCCTCGGAGATAAATTCTTTCTGAATCTCGTCAGTCATTTTACACAGAGCTGAACTTCAGCTGTTTGTTTTACAGAAATCAAAGAAGCTTGCTGAACTGAGCAAAGCTCGTCTTCTTTTATGCATTAGTGTAATAGATCTATAGTGCCAGCTTTCATGGCAGAGTTCTAAAGTAACATTATCATATGAGAACCGTTCCGTTCTAGCTGTTTTGGTCACACCTTGAAAGTGGTGCTATGTGTGATCTCATGAAATGTTGTGAGATGTACCGTATTTTTCACCGTATAAGTTGCAGCGTTTTGCATAAATTTGCGAGTCCTGCGACTTATACACTGAAACGACTAATATACGTTTTTTCCCCCATATTTATAACCCAAGTTTTGGCTGAGATCTGACGATTTCATTCATTCTGACGGAAAATATTGAACATTACCATTTTCAGCCACTAGAGGGCCCTCAAGTAATATGGCAAACCAAGTGTCTCCTTAATAGGTAAAAGTGGCTATTAATGAGACACTTGGCTTGCCATACAGGCCACCTTCGTCTCTCTCCAGAACTCCTGGAGCAAACGTCAAATCATCTGCATTTCACCGCACCGCCCAGGTGAAATGCAGACGATTTGACCATTAAAGTTCATTTATTAAGGAAAAGGTCAACTGAGACACACCTTTACTATAATTTTGAGCAAACAAATAATAGTTTTTAAGTGTTAATCTTGTTAAGTTATTGTTAAAGTCTTCCCGTGCGCTCTCCCGCGGCCGCCTTTTGGCAACCAATCGATTTTTGACACAACACCGGCCCACATTTCCAGGTGGTCAGTGGTGACGCATAATAGATGCGACTTTTACGGCAAATCGACGTATTTTATTTTTATTTTTCACTTTATTACACATATTTGGACTGATGCGACTTGTACGTGTATGGCAGCAAGTACGGTAATAACGTTCGGCGCCCGTATTGAGCACAACAATCAGCTGCTATTGCATCAAACTTTAGCTCGATATCTGTAAATTCGACTAAATTAGAGCCATCGTTGTGTTGGATAACGTCAACAAGCTGTGATGGCCATGTTCAGCTGACTGGGTTCAAAACAGTCAAAATATTATAATCCATGCAATGGTTTATATATTTTGCTAACAGACAGACAGGGGCGAGTCCACTAGCTAAAGGCAAAGTTTTAAACAGAACCCTCAGTTGCTATCTTATGAATTTTTATCTCAATATTTGCAAAACGACTTGATTTGTATTACCGTATTTTTCAGACTATAAGACGCAATTAAAATCTTTTAATTTTCTCAAAAAACGAGTGAGCCTTATAATCTGGTGCGCCCTATGTATTAATTCCGGTTGTGTTTACTGACCTCGAGCCCATTTCGTGTGGTTTTTGTGAATGAGTTGAATAAAGTTTGACTTGTCTGTTTTGTTTCGCTCGATGCGCCTTATAGTCCAAAAAATACGGTAATTCTAACCACGGTTCAGGCAGGAGTCGGTTTCTGTTTCATAGGATGAGTTTCACTGGAACAGAAAGAACTCCAGCTCTCAATCATAGCTCCTATTGTAGTCTGCTGTCCAGAAATAATCCCTAATCTGTTTAGCGGAGTTAGTGCATACCACACACACTAACCTCTGAAGAAAAGTGTTTTTGTTGTGTAAACCTTGAGTGTGAGGCTTGTATGGATTTACAGCCTCACACAGTTTGCTCCACAGAATCACTCACCTCTTTGTTTACTAAAGTTAATCTGTTAATCTGAGAAGTTATTTTGGCTTCTTGGTTAGAAATGCTTCATTGGGAAAAGGCTTCTCCGTCAGAGTTTTTGTTTTGAGGTTCTTCACCAGCATATCGTTTGTCTGGTGTTTATACAAAGCACAGATTAGAGTTCAGAGTGAGATGATGTCATCTCTGCTGACACTCGCCTGTCTGTGGCTGAATATAATCCACACTGTTCTTTCGCCAGGAAACATAAAGTATGCACGTTATTTAGATGAAATCTGTTTTTAGCCTCCCCTGGCGTTCGCGGCGCTGATGGGAGAACCCGGTCGACCAGTGTGGCCTCTGTGGGAGCTGCTGAAGTGGATGGTGGGAAGATCAGACCATACGATGGCTGCCATCTGTAAGGAGACAACATGGCTGCCATTTTGTTCCTTACATGTCTTTCTGTGCAACTGAGTTGTGCTTTGTTCAGTGTTGGCCGTCGTCGAGAAGACCTATGGCTCCAAAACCTCGCCCTCCCTCATCCAGAAGAAAGAGAAGCTGCAGAAGGAGTTTGAGGAGCTGCTGGGAACCGATGGCATCCTGTTCTACCCGTCACACCCCAGAGTGGCGCCCAAACACCACCACCCCCTCTTCACAGCCTTCGACTTCTCCTACACTGGTTAGTGGTTCTGCCGACGCCTCGCAGCTTACCGGTCTAACTTTGTATGAGACACACGGAGCCCAGATGTTCTGAAAACATCTGGATTCATCTGCAGGTCGAAGACTTAAAGAGATTTTAAAGTTTAAGGGCATAAGTGTGAATTTATTGTGGGTTTTCTCAGCTGCACCTTGACCTCAGGTGTTTAGTATCTATCAGCAGCCACTGGCTCAATATTTGATCTCTCTACTGGAAGAATTCGTGGAACTTGTTTATATTGTTGTTGTTGTTTTTTTTTTGCTAAAGATTTGCTAAAGGGAGGAAAGAAAGAAAGGAAGGAAGGGAAGGAAAGGAAGAAGGAAAGATGGAAGGAAGGAAGGAAGAAACTCTGTACCAGAAGGAAAAAGTACCACATATTAAATAAATGACAAACTTTCTTTTGACCCGAGGAAACTAATTATTTAATGTTTTTGAGCGTAAAAGGAAATAAAATAAAAATGAGTAAAAAGAAGGAAAAGCCCCGACAGTGTTTCCTTCATGCTTCGAAAACATTTAGTCCAAGTTTGATGTCGGCGTGTTGCTCTTTGATGGCTTCAGTCAAAACATCACTCCTGCTTCAACAGACTGATGGAGCAGTTCGTTACTGCATCTTGTTTGAAATAACTTTATTGTCCACTTGTTACACACACATCACTCATGTTACCGTAGTGTGTTAGCGTAACAAGCAGAACAGGCAGTGAGAGTTGATGAGGTGTCACTCTGGTTTCATTACGCTTGTGTTTCATCCTCAGGTATCCTGAACATCCTGGGCCTGCCTGTGACCCAGTGTCCTCTGGGTCTGGGGCAGGAGGGTCTGCCTCTGGGTCTGCAGGTGGTCGCTGGAAAGCTGCAGGACCATCTGACCCTTGCCGTGGCCCTCTACCTGGAGAAGACCTTCGGAGGTTGGAGGAGCCCTGGAGCAAACTAAACACACACACACTACAGCCATTACCAAAAGAGAGCGTGTCGAGGCATTTCTGCCGTCCTGCCAGAGGCACAGTCGGAGGCGAATGTTCAAGTTTTTGCACTAATAAGAACTCTCTCGTTCCTCCGAGGGGATTTTATGTTTTACAGGCTAGAAGCTCAGAAGCTGAACGTTTAGGTGGAAACATTTTCACATCAGATTTCACTTAGCAGCTTGGCTCATGTTGAGTGTGTGTTTACCTAAATCGTCCTGTTTAAGATCCTGCTCCAACAGGAGAACGTGCACACACACATCAAACTGATAATCCAAGGTCCCTACAGAGATTAAATTATTCGGTCAAATGAGGCAGAAAAGAATGAAACACAGAAAGATGTGCTAAGTATTAACATTAGAAACTACAAAGGACGAGACGTACTGGGTGTTTTAATAAAAATAGGCAAAAGCTGTGTTTGACCTGATGAGCATGTTCATATGAATGATGTGTGGCTCAGCAGTTGTGCTGCCTGTTTTATGCTTCAGCTCATTTTAATAAATAAAACGTTTCATTTTATCTGCGGACTACGGAGCTTTTTGTAGCGGGTCTTCTTTTATACGAGCCCTGGCAACGATTATATCACCTCTGTGATTGACAACAATCATATCTTTGGTTTTACTGCGTCTTAATGCCACAAGGCTGCAATTCTGACTACTGTGGTTTTTGGACTATAAGGCACAATATCAAGGAACGGGTCTGTTTTCACACATAAGGCGCATTTAGCAAAACAAAACAGGTAAGTCACTTTATTCAACTCATTAATAACCACATAAAATCAGTTCGAGGTCAGTAAGCACAACCAGAATTAATATATAAGTTGCACCTGTTTATAAGGCTCACTGTTGATTTTTGAGAAAATTAAAGGATTTTAAGTGTGCCTTATAGTCTGAAAAATATGGCAATTATAGTTTTTGAGCCTGATTATTATTATTTTTTTTACCGTAGATTAATACACAAAATTTAACAAATGAAACATCATCCTCAGAGTGGTGATGCCGTCCTTTTTGATGCCGGTGGTTGTAGTTCAGGTGAACTGGGTGTTTTCGTGCTGCCTTCAGGTCACAGCAGTTAACTTTAAATATTAAAATCAACTTCAAGTCAACGGTTATCTCAGACACAAGGTTTTCAGGTGCTAAAATAAAACCAAAATAAACTATAAAAACTACGATTTACATTACTGTGGTGTCACTTTTTTTTTTCATTCCTCACATGTAACTTTGCACTCAGCAACCCTGCTGGCAGGAATGTATTGACCATAAGCTGCTTGTTGGGCACAAAAATCTTTAGCATTTGAAGCTACGTGGGACTCCACAACCGGCTGCTGTGACCTGCAGGACAACAGGTCTTTACAGGCGTCTGACATAACGCACTCCAACAAACGGACGGGCTCTAGACTGTAAACACCAAAATAAAAGAGCGTCTCGTTTATTTGTCTTTATTGCAGCTATTCGTGAAACCTGCTCAGATATAGATGCAAAAACTAAACTTCTGGTGACTAAACCCTCTAAATTAAAGCTTGATGTGAAAAGTAAACGGACTGTATGACTTTAACCACTTTAAACACAAAATCAATGTAAAATCACTTTTTTTTTCCAGTAATGTGGCTTTTTATCTGCTAGAAACTGCAGTAAAGAACAAAGTCTAGAAAAACATCTTTTTCTCTGCGGTTTGCTTTTTTTCCAACTTATCCAGGTGTGGAAAATTCTAAAACTGAATTAACACCTGTCCTTTTTAAAAACTGCACAACTTCCCTGCAAACCACAAATATGAACCATTTTAATACTTCTAGGGCCCTGGTCCTTGAGGAACACCATTGTGCATGTCGTTTCTCTGCTCCGACACACCCGATTTTAATTAAACGGGTGATTAACAGGCTTCTAGAGTACATGAAGTAATTCAATCGCTGAATCAGGTGTTGGAGCAGGGAAGCAACGAAAACATGCAGGATGGTGTTCCTCAAGGACTAGAGTTTGGAACCACTGGTTTAAAGTACTGATTTTCAGCTACACAAGTGCATTTGTGCTCATACAGAAATCTGCTGCAGTTGTTGGAAGCTCAGAGTATGGGAAGTTCCAGACAACAACTAACGTGAGGAAGAAACCCAACAGTCATCTCTAATGACGAGTGACGACCATCATCGCAGATCTCCGTTTTATCACAAAACTTTTTATTTGGAAGGGTCAAAGCTGAAAACTTTGTACAGAAAACTACAGACGGTCCGTCTCCTCTCTGAACCTTCTTGTACCTCAGCACAAACGCTCGAAGGTCCCCGGTGGTAAAGAGCGCCTCCTCTGCACCCCCCCCCCCACCTCCTGAAATCAGTCTCAAGATTCAGAGGCTTAAAAACAAACAAATGTGTAAAAGAAACAAAAAAAAAAAAGTTATCCGTTTTGGCGGTGTGGTAAAAGGGAGGAGCTTTCTCTCCTTGATAACAAGCTTGATTTGGCCCACGTGTGTGTGTGTACATAGAAGCGTTTATAGTGAGCCAAGGCCCTCAGGAGACGTTTGTGATGGGTTTGTATTTCTTCAGACGGGTCCACTGTCCTGTTGAGTAGTTCATTTCGAAGACAGTGTCCACCAGCATGGTGGTGCTGCCGGTGCCGTCGGCTTTGGGCAGAACCTCTGTGTGCTCGCTCAGCTTGATCTGGATGACGTCACCCTGCTCTGGACACGGGTTCTCTGTAGGACGCAGAAGAAAACTAAACGGTTAGTTTCAAATTACATGAACCGCTGAAATTGCGATCATGCTACAATTTTTATACCATTTCATTCCGAGGAAGAAGAAAAAAAGTTAAAAAAAACAGTCAAAAAATAATATCAGCTATGAAAACAAGCTGCAAAAAGAAAAGGATACACAGACGTAACATTCTGACAGGTGCCTTGTTTTGTTCATTTTATTTTTACTCCTTCAAGTTCACCTACTGAAGAATTCAACAAGACATCTTCTGAATTTAGTTAAACCCCAAAACCAAAAAAAAAAAACAAATGTAAGTTCATTAAAATGATTGTGCAAATTTTAATTGTGGTCTTAGTAAGAAAATGTTCCCTTACAAAAAAAAAAACATTTGAATGAACCAACACTACTTCCATGTTTGTTGCATGTAAGGACATTTAGTCCATAAAGTGCTGCAAAAAACAGCTGAAAGTCCATTGGTATGAGAAATTGTTGACCATTGGATTTTAAATATCAGAGCAGAGACGAGTTCTCACATTAAATATATTCTTATTGGTCACAACTTTTCAGTTGCTTATTAATGCAAATACCTCATCAGCCAGTCATGGGCAGCATCATTCATGTTCAACTTTTAGAGATGGTGAGGTTCAGTGGACCAGCCTGTCTGGCACCAACAACCACCATGATCCTAGTTTCTTCCTGGTTCTGATGCTCAGTCTGAACACAACTTTTCCTCCTCCACCATGACCCTCAGCACTGGCTTCCCTCAGGGCTGTGTGTTGAGCCCCCTCCTGTTCACTCTGCTCACCGACCCATCCAGGCTGTCATATTGTAAAGTTTGCAGACGATACAGTGGTGGTGGGATCCATCACAATGATGAGTCCAGCTACAGGAAGGAGGTGGAACACCTGGAGAGCTGGTGCAGTAAGAACAACCATCACAACAATGTGAAGAAGACAAAGGAGATGGTCGTGGATTTCAGACGGAGCAAACACACCTGCCCCCCACCACTCGTATAATTGTAGGGGAAACAGTGACGTGATGTGAACAACAGTAAAGAACCTTGAACTGCAAGTCGTCTTCACATCACAAGCCTGAAGGCAGAGTTGTTGCCGTCTGATCAGCTGATTAGTGTTAAGAAGTGATGGAAGAGGTGTTCCTAATAAAGTGGCAGATAAGCGTCTAGTCTTGGTTACCTATTGTGACTTTTTATTGGGTTCAATAGTTGAGATTTTACAGCCTGTTAAACACTGAAGGATCACCCACAACCTGTTGTTGCATGTGACACTGGGGGGAAGTTAGCAGAAGAAGCCGTTTTTCTTTGTGATCCCACAGCTGGAACTGGTACCTCTGGATCCGGCCATGAACCCCAGGATGAGAGCCTTCTCTGGTCTGGTGACCTTGTTGGCCGTCTTGAACATCTCCTGGGCAGCATACATCTGGTCCCTCTGCGCAGCACAAACAGCATGCGATAGCATTAGCATCAACACGCTAACCTCAAATATGCTAAAGCTTCAAAACGAGTTTCTCCACCGTACCGTGAGCGAGAGGTTTTTTTTGGGCTGGGGCTGTTGTGGTGTAGGCGCTGGTGTCGGGGTCTGAGGGGTGCTGGGAGGCTGAGTGGGGGTCTCCGGTTGGCTGGCGGTCGCAGCAGCCGGGGGGCCGTTGCTGGCTGGGGTGGAGGCCGGCGTACTGGGGGATGTGGGGGTTGCGGGGTTGGCTGCGGTGCTGGCGTTGTACATGGGCGTCCTCTGTTTGTACTGGTTGGGTAAGGTGGCGCCGGCACCAGAGGCTGCTGTGGTGGGGTCCTCCGGCTGGCGAGCTGCCTGCAGCGTGTCCCGTCCTGAACCACCAGCGTTCGCTGGGGAGGGGGTGGAGAAAAAGACACCGCAAGATCAACATTTCGGTTCTTTAGCCTTTAGGTCCACGGCTGAGTCGTTCCACTGACCTGGCTGTGCCTCGGAGCTGGGAATGTAAGACGAGGAGGGAACCATGCTGGGTGTGGCGGGGAGGTAACTGGTGGAAGGCAGAGGGTTCTCGTTCAGCGCCCCCAGTTTCTGAAGAACAAAACAAAATGAGAAGTGTTTGAAAAGGGTTTGTTCTGAAAGAAAAGCTGACAAAACAGAGCGGAGGGGGGAATTCTGAGGTGAGTGCACGTCTTTAACACCTGTGCAGAGACGAGACCAGCAGCATAGTCTGGTGTGGTGTTCTCCACCACCGCCGCCGCCGCTGCCTCTTCCTTGGCTGCTTTATCTGCAACTTCTGTTTCTGTGGAAGAGAAAAAACATTAAGTTTGTGCATCGTACAGCGCAGAATGTAAAACTGTAAGCATCGTTACCCAAAGTCTTCCTTCTCCTTTTCGCCTCCCTTCCAGCTCCAACCGTGTCCAACTCTGAAATATCTAAAAGCTGAAAGAGAGAAAATTCTATTCTTTCAGACTTTGTCAGAAAAGAACGACTGAAGCCGGGAGCGGAGGAGCCTCACCTTGACTCCTCTCTCTTTCCGCAGGGGTGTTCGTGGGGGAGCGATGGGCGCGCGGTTACTGGGCGGGCTGAATAAACTGGGGGCTGTGGGGCTGCGGAACGGGGCCTTGGGAATCCCCTTGAGAGGAGCTGAGACGCACAAACCAGTATCAGCGACAGAAGTCAGTGTTTGAATCTCTCATGACAAAGACTAAACAAATTTGACATGAGAATTTTGTGATCCAGCTGTTGCACGAAGGAGCACACGTCTGGACACGTGCACATCTGGAACTCACTTGTCGTGTCGATCTTTTTGACCAGTCCTCTTCCTTTGGCGTGGAACGGCGTGGCTGTCTTTTTGAGCTGCTGGGCCGTCTCTGTTGCTGCATTACAAGTAAAATAATTTCGAGTTCACGCAAAACCAAAGAACCCGCTGCACTTTACAGTTGGAGCAAACCCCCATCTTGGTGCAAGGCGCTGTTTAGCTGAGGTTTCATTTACAGAACTTACATTTCTGCAGCAGTTCTGCCCTCAGCGTTGCGCTCTTGGGCTTCCTCTTGAGCTGGAAATGTTTAACGGGGGGTGTGAGGGGTCCCACCAGAGTGGTCAACGCGCTCTTGTTCAGATACTGACATTCCAGAGGAAGCATGGCAGACGCCTCACACTCACTCACTGAGGAGAAGGAGGAGATCAAGAACAGGACAGAGTCATGTGACCTGCTGTTACAACAAATTAGAAATCATTGTAAACAAGGTTCCGACACATTTCTCACTTTAAAATTACACACTTTTCCACTCAATTTTCAATTTTGGGGACATTTTTGACATCCAAGAACAAACATTGTTCGTCGTACATTGTGTATGAAATGGTAGCAAAGCCCAAATAAGACAAAAAGCTAAGAAACACATAACGCTAACCTTTCTCCCTGAGCTCTCCAAGGATATCCTGCACGTTTGGATTCTGCTCCTCCAGGTCCAGATTCAGAGAGCCGGTCTCCGGGAAGGACTTGAGGATATCTGCAACCATCAACACCCAGGGTTCTGAATCCACCGTAGCCAGCTGGATTATCTCCGACAAGGCCTCCTTCATCTGTGAAGAAACGGAGTCAGCTTCAAATTAACTTAGGAAAAAGGTTTATAGGTCAAGTCGTAGAATAGGTCTGAAAATTTTTTAGTATAAAACTGTTTAAAATAACATGTAAAAAAAATATTTTTTTTTGTATAACCTACCAAATTATTTATACCTACTTGTGTGTGGATCTTTCTGCACATAAGGATGTTCACATTACAAAAACAAAGTGACTGTAAAAGAAGAGTTCACCTCAGAGAGTGTAGACAAACTTATTGTAGATACTGCTTTGAGAAAGTGGTGAAGGCTGCACAGAAGTCTGCTGGAGTCAGTCTCCCCACCATCACAGACATCTATCTACACCTCTAGATGCAGAAAGAGGGTCACCTGCATCATGAAAGACCTCACTCACCCAGCACTCACTTTTTGCCCCGCTCCCCTCAGGCAGGAGGTTAAGGAGCATTAAGTGTAGAACCACTAGACTGAGGAACAGCTTCTACCCTGAGGCCATTAAGACTCATGAATCTCTAACCAGAATAATCACTGTGAAGAATCGCATCATGTTGCTGCTGATCTGTTTCAATGTTGCTGCTGATCTGTTTCATGTTGATGTGTTTATGCGTGCTCATCTGCTCACACCGACTCATGCTCATGTTCATGCTGCTGTTTGACATAATGTTTTTATGCTACTAGTGCTTAGTGTATTTTGGTTGTAGAAAACTGCCTTGTTGCTATGGTTATGCATCATAACAAATGTCCAAAACTAAAAAAAGTTTCAGTAAAAATCCTTCCAGCTTCACAGCATCCGATACCAGAGGAAACAATCATCCAAAAAATGTGATTTACAATTTATTTAAGGGCATGTTTTTGAAAAATCGACCACAACATCCTCATTTCTAGACTGGAGCAGTGGGTGGGCATCACAGGGTCAGCCCTTAAATGGTTTGGGTCCTACCTCTCTGACAGAACCTTCTGTGTCAATATCAAAGATTTTAGTTCGGCATCGACCGCACTCCAGTGGGGGGTACCGCAGGGGTCCATCCTCGGTCCCCTTCTCTTTTCTTTATACCTGCTGCCACTAGGTGCTATCTTCCGCAAACACGACATACCCTTTCATTTCTATGCCGATGATTGCCAAATTTACTTCCCCCTGAGGCACACGCTCTATTCAGCCTCTTCTTGACTGCCTGGCTGACATCTGGGACTGAATGGCTTTAAACTTCTTAAGCTTCAATGAGAAGAAGTCTGAAGTCATGCTGTTCCATCCCAGTGGCTCACTCATGAACTATGACATTGACCTATTCTCTCTAGCCCCGCTAGAGAAACAAAAGGTGACTAATCTGGGGGTGATAATGGACCCGTCCTTAAAACTCAACAGTCACGTAAACATGATGGTCAAATCCTGTTTTTTTCAGCTGAGACGGCTGTCTAAGCTGAAGCCTATACTCAACAAAAAGAACCTCGAGACAGTGATCCACGCCTTCATAACATCTAGGCTTGATTACTGCAATTCACTTCTGTTTGGAATCAGTCAGTCCTCCATTGCTCGTCTACAACTGGTCCAAAATGCTGCAGCCCGATTTTTAACTGGTACAGGCTATAGAGAGCACATCACGCCAGTTTTGGCCTCCCTGCACTGGCTACCCATTCACCTTCGGATCCATTTCAAAATTCTCATGTATGTTTTTAAATCACTGAACAGTTCCGCCCCATCCTATCTCACTGATCTTCTGCAGCCATATGTCCCACCGCGCTCTCTGAGGTCAGCAGACCAGATGCTTCTCTCAGTCCCAGAAACCCGTCGTAAGCTCAGAGGTGACAGGGCTTTCTCTGTTGCAGGTCCACGACTGTGGAATGAGTTGCCACTGAGTGTCCGGCAGGCTCCCACACTCTCAGTCTTTAAGTCTCGCTTGAAGACCCACTTCTATTCTCTTGCCTTTAACACGGTGTGATTTGTTTTGGTCCAGTCTGTTCTCTACTCTGTTGGCCATTTTAGTTAGCTTCTGCTGCTATTTGTATCTGTATTTCTATTTTATGTTTTCCTGTCCGCTGTGCATGTTTGTGTTCTTTTGTACAGCACTTTGGTTGGCCTTGTTGCTGTTTTAAGTGCTATATAAATAAATTGGTATGGTATGGTATGGTAAAAATGGAGAATCATATTTTTCCTAACTTTATTGTTGTCAAAAAAAAAAAAAACTAAAAACGTAGATTCGAGGAATTCAGGAGAAACGAGCAAAAAAAAAAAAAAAAACATTTAAAAACTTGGTCAACCCTGATCTCTCCACGTTTGAAAATGGTTGCAGTTCACAACATCACCACTAGATGTCACCAGATGTCACAAAGGACACGACACAAATTAAAGAGTTTGAGTTCATATTAAATCAAATACTTAAGAGGTACAACACCTAATGGCTTAAATTTGAAGGACAAAAGAATAAAAGGTCACATTCATGCCACTTTCTGACTGAATATGTTGAACAAGCCGATGACGGGAGCAGCTGAGCGGTGATATGTCGGGCTGATGGTTGGCACCGCCCTCCAGCTCCACTAACCGCTGCGTCCTTCCTCCATCCGCCACAATGTCTGTGAGCAAGCCACCGCGCTAATGTCGCCCGCCTTAGCTCGTGAGCCTCTCCGGGAAAAACCCGAACCAAACAACTGAGAAAGTTGGTCGGGAGCATCTCGTTGTTCGCATTAGTTATACCTTTCATCGCGGCTTTACATCTGGGTGGAAACTCCAGGAAGAGGCTGAAGAATAAAACACGTTAGCTTGAGGTTTTAGCCGCAGCTAGCCAGTTTTAGTTTTTAACAGCCTTCGACACAGACGGGAACGCTTTTAGGGTTTTGCGCGACTATCCTCGGAAGTTAAACCATATTTCGATGGTTTTAAAAGTTCTCGGAGTCTCTGATTGTTAGGGTCAAAATACATTGAAAACTAACGTTGAGCAACCGACCTCGTCAACCGTCCGCCTGGGAAGGTGCAGCATGCCGAGCAGCAGTTTGAGCTTCACCGGCGGCGACAAGCTCGAGAAGCACAGCCGTATGTTGTCGATGACCGACACGGTGAGGAGAGAGGCGATGCTCGGAGGCGTCCACAGCTCGTCCGTAGAGCCCAGCTTGTTGTGAAGCCACAGGCCGGTGTCGCTGTCCTTCATCGACGCCATCTTGGAAAAAGAAGTGTTTGGGTTCGGGCATTTTAACAAGCTACCTAAGAAAACAGCAGTCAGGACCCCGCCCACACGGGAGGGGGCGGGGCGCACGTTGATAACAAAGAAATAAAACTAGTAAAAACAAACGGAGTAATTACTCTTGTTAGGTTTTAATGTGTTTTTCTATAAGAAAAGACACTGAACTTTTTTTTTTTTTTTTACAACTGAAGCACATAAGTCAAACGTTTTAAGACTTGTGAACGTTCAAATAAAGTATTTTTTTTAATTCATTCAACCTTACCGTTTTACAGTGGCACTAAGATGTAAATAAACATTAGAAAAAACGGAATTACATAAGAAAAAAACAATCACAACATTTGAAAAAAAAACCAATCATAACAACATTTGAAAAATAACAATCACAACAGCATTTAAAAAAAAACAATCACAACAACATTTGAAAAAAAAATAACATTTGAAAACAATTACATTTGGAAAAAAATCACAACATTTGAAAAAAACAATCATAACATTTGAAAAAACAATTACATTAGAAAAAAAAACAATCACAACAACGTTTGAAAAAACGTTGTTGTGATCAGGTGAAAAGGAGGAACCCAGACCAGTGGTCATTCCGCATGTTGAGGGAGTATCAGAGAAACTGAGACGTTTATTTTCTAAACATAACGTCCCAGTGGCTTTTAAACCCCAAAATACATTACGGCAAAGACTGGTTCATCCCAAAGATCCAGTCCCCCGGCACAAACAGAGTAATGTTGTGTATGCTGTTCAGTGTCAGGAGGGCTGTGATCAGTCTTACATCGGGGAAACTAAACAACCACTGGCCAAAAGGATGGCCCAGCACAGAAGATCAACATCATCAGGCCAGGACTCTGCGGTCTACACTCATCTCCAGGCCAGCGGTCACTCTTTCAGGGCTGAAGGTGTTCACATCCTGGACAGAGAGGAACGATGGTTTGAGAGAGGAGTAAAGGAGGCCATCTTTGTGAAAAGAACTCATCCATCATTAAACAAGGGTGGAGGCCTACGTGTTCAACTGTCCCCCTCTTACAATGCTGTGATTGCTAGTATCACTCAGCCCTCTGTGAGTAGTAAACAGCCATCAGGGTGCTAATGATCCATTGTTAGGCTGATGGTCCTTCTTGAGCATGTGATCAGCTGGTTTTGGTTGTCAGCAGCAAACTGGTTGATCCACCCTGAGAAGGTGCTATTTAAGAGACTGAGCTGAATACAGCTCCTCAGACTGAGGAAGTCTCTTGGATGAGAGACGAAACGTTTCTACAAAAAAAAAAATTTTTTTTTTTTTTTTTTTTTGAATGTCCAGAGGACCAGACTTAAGCTTTGTGATTTTTCTACCTGGATTATTGAGCATGCATCAGGGTGTGTACTGTATATTCTAAAAAAAAAAGTTGTCAGGTCCTCTGGATGTTCAAAAAACAACAAAAATAAATAAATAAAATCGTAGAAATGTTTCATCCGAGAGACTTCCTCAGTCTGAGGTGCTGTATTCAGCTCAGTCTCTTAAATAGCACCTTCTCAGAGTGGATCAACCAGTTTTGCTGCTGACAACCAAAACCAGCTGATCACATGCTCAAGAAGGACCATCAGCCTAAGAATGGATCATTAGCACACTGATGGCTGTTTACTGTTCACAGAGGGCTGAGTGATACTAGCAATCACAGCATTGTAAGAGGGGGACAGTTGAACCCAGAGGCCTTCAGAGGACCTGACTTAACTTTTTTAGATTTTTCTACTTGGATCATTGAGCATGCATCAGGATGTACTGTATATTGTTCTGTTGCTCGTTTTTCTGCTGTTAATAAAGTAAAAAAAATAAAAATAAATCCTGTTTGTCTTAATGTCATTCTGTTTTTTCACATGTTCATTTACACCTTAGGGCCACCGTATTATACAGGTTAGTCTCATTGAGCCACGACTAGGACTCATTTACAAGAGGGACCTGTTCCAGACAGAACATATAAAGTACAGACAACAATATAGGCCTACTACAGTAAAAATGTAGTTAAAAATTAGTCATTAATAATGGCGTTAATTTAAAATATAAGACTGACTTTGTGGCTTTTCTGACCGATTAAGCCTTGGATGAAGGACGAGTCTTTTGTTTTAATTTGTGGAAGTTTAATTTACCAATTGTAAAAGTTGAATAATGTACTGAACTATTAGTAGTACTGAACTCAACCCTAAGGTCCTGGATTTTAATGTTCTGAACTATTTTTGAATGTTAAATAGTCTTAAATGCCATAAAATGTTAAAATCCCAATTGCATATGGAAAGATTTCAGATTTTTTTGTCAGCATCGCCGGCAGTAAGTCAGGCTCGTTCCCGCTGAGAGTTGGACTCCGCCAAGGTTGCCCTTTGTCACCGATTCTGTTCATAACTTTTATGGACAGAATTTCTAGGTGCAGCCAAGGTGTTGAGGGGATCCGTTTTGGTGGCCTTAGGATTGCGTCTCTGCTTTTTGCAGATGGTGTGGTCCTATTGGCTTCATCAGATAGTGATCTACAGCTTTCACTGGAGCGGTTTGCAGCCGAGTGCAACACGGCCGGGATGAAGATCAGTTCCTCCAAATGTTCCAAGTTCAAGTCCAAGTTCCTGCCCCAAGTGGAGGAGTTCAAGTATCTTGGGGTCTTGTTCACGAATGAGGGAAAAATGGAGCGTGAGATCGATAGGCGGATAGGTGCAGCATCTGCAGTGAAGCAGGTGCTGTACAGGTCTGTCGTGGTGAAGAGAGAGCTGAGTCAAAAGGCGAAGCTCTCAATTTACCGATCGATCTACGTTCCTACCCTCATCTATGGTCACGAGCTTTGGGTTGTGATCGAAAGAATGAGATCTCGGATACAAGCGGCCGAAATGAGTTTTCTCCGCAGGGTGTCTGGGCTCTCCCTTAGAGACAGGGTGAGAAGCTCAATCATCCGGGAGGGACTCAGAGTAGAGCCGATGCTTCTCCACGTCGAGAGGAGCCAGTTGAGGTGGCTCGGGCATCTGTTTAGGATGCCTCCTGGACGCCTCCCTGGTGAGGTGTTCCGGACACGTCCCACCGGAAGGAGGCCCAGAGAAAGACCCAGGACACGCTGGAGGGACTATGTTTCTCGGCTGGCCTGGGAACGCCTCGGGATTCCCCCGGAAGAGCTGGACCAAGTGACTGGGGAGAGGGAAGTCTGGGCCTCCCTACTTAGGCTGCTACCCCCGCGACCCGACCCCGGATAAGCGGAAGAAAATGGATGGATGGAAGATTTCCCAGTTCTCTTAGTAAACAGCTTGTTTGAGTTTCTCTAGGTTCAGTTTTTTCCACTAAACCTCATGAGGTTCTCTATGAGAGTCGTTTCAGCTCTTTGTAGTTTTTCATAAATATTTGCAAATTTCAATTCACGAGATTATAGCAATATAAACAAGGAACTGGCGATTAAGATGCTCTAAGCTTAAATTTATTTTATTAGACTGTGACATGACTTCACTGTGATGAAATGATCAAATATGAAAACAAATATCATCATCTGCATTGTTTCTATCAATTTTGTTATTCTATCCATCTAGTTTGCCTGTGTTATGTTGGATCTTATTTTTCATGTACTTTTAGAGACAAGACGTTCCATAAATTGGAATTTTCCATCCCCATAATGGGAACGTTCACCAGTCAAAACGATTACAGTGATAAAAGTCCTAAAGCTTATCACTGAAAGGACATTTTTGCCTTTATAATGTATTGTCAAAGGGGTGATATTTAGCAGTTTTTGCACACTACAATATGACACAAAATTAATAACTTTTTTAATTTGCCAGATAGATTTTTTTTGCCTCACAATGGGTGTATCTTTTCATTCAGAGGGATAAAAATTGCAGCTCAGTCATTTTGAACCCTGAAGAAATGCCTGTGAAGATCCATAAAAAAGTATTTTCTCTGCCAAAAAGTGATCATGCCTCATTTTCTTACAAGGAGGGAGCATTTCTGCCTTAAAATAAATTGTTTTTGACTACCTTCTGATTAATTTTTAGAATCAGACCAGTGCAAGATGGCTGTCAAAACTAATAAAAAATTACAAACACAAAAATGGGAATAACTCAATTTCACACAAATGGTGCTAAAGAATTTGGGTGGTATCAACTAATCATCATCCCCAACACACAACTTGAGTGCTAACAAAATACACTGCTATTTTTGCTATTGTTGGATGTAACTGGGACCCTGTACATAATTTCATTCCACCTCATGTACCACATATGATGTGAATGACATGACTTGAACAAATCATGTCCTTTTTAAAAAATTGTCGTGGGATGTAGTCTGTCTATCCATCTTTCTGTGTGTGCGCATGTATAAAACTGATTTATTCTGAGATTTATTAACCGATCTGTGTCCAGATAAGACTTCATATGGGTCCAGATTAGGGCCAAATCCAGTATTTGGGGCTCCTTGTTTAGGAGACCTCTTTGGTGCAGTGGTGAGCGATGGTTTAACTTAATCTGGGATCAAAACCCAGATGCTGTTCAGGGATTTGATGTTTTCGATAATAGATTCGACATAGAAATTTAATGGCTGCATGACTTGACCAGTTTTGCAAGTAGTCAAGAAATTTGGGGGATTTTTGCAGTGTTACGGCTCCTACAGTGCCTATCTTCTGCAGGCTGGGCTATTTATGCAGAGCAATCTTCCACATGTCATACAAACATTGCATTCGTATAGGCCATATCATAAACATAACATTATATATATCAAATCCCAGTCCGGGGGCCTCTCTGGGTGGAGTTTGCATGTTCTCTCCGTGCATGCGTGGGTTTTCTCCGTGTGCTCCAGTTTCCTCCCACAGAACAAAAACATGCATGTTAGGCTGATTGGTAACTCTAAATTGTCTCTATGTGTCCCATGATGTGAGTGAGAGAGTGAATGGTTTTTTGTCTCGTTTGTCTCTATGTGTTCCTGTGATGGACTGGAGACCTGTCCAGGGTGTCCCCCGCCCCACGAACAGTGATTGCTGGACATGAGCACCGGTGACCCTCGTGACCCAAAATGGAAGAAGTGGGTAAAAGTTAATGGATGGATGGATATATATAAATAAATGTATATACTGTACAAACCGGATTCCAAAAAAGTTGGGACACTAAACAAATTGTGAATAAAAACTGAATGCAATGATGTGGAAGTGCCAACATCTAATATTTTATTTAGAATAGAACACAAATCACAGATCAAAAGGTTAAACTGAGAGAATGTATCATTTTAAGGGAAAAATCTGTTGTTTCCAAATTTCATGGAGTCAACAAATCCCAAAAAAGTTGGGACGAGTCCATTTTTACCACTGTGTGGCATCCCCCCTTCTTCTTACAACACTCAACAGACGTCTGGGGACAGAGGAGACCAGTTTCTCAAGTTTAGAAATAGGAATGCTCTCCCATTCATGTCTAATACAGGCCTCTAACTGTTCAATCGTCTTGGGCCTTCTTTGTCACACCTTCCTCTTTATGATGCGCCAAATGTTCTCTATAGGTGAAAGATCTGGACTGCAGGCTGGCCATTTCAGTACCCGGATCCTTCTCCTACGTAGCCATGATGTTGTGATTGCTGCAGAATGTGGTCTGGCATTATTGTGTTGAAAAATGCAGGGTCTTCCCTGAAAGAGATGACGTCTAGATGGGAGCATATGTTGTTCTAGAACCTGAACATAGTTTTCTGCATTAATGGTGCCTTTCCAGACATGCAAGCTGCCCATGCCACAAGCGCTCATGCAACCCCATACCATCAGTGATGCAGGCTTCTGAACGGAGCGTTGATAACAACTTGGGCTATCCTTGTCTCCTCTGGTCCGGATGACATGGCGTCCCAGTGTTCCATAAAGAACTTCAAATTGTGACTCATCTGACCACAGAACAGTCTTCCATTTTGCCACACTCCATTTTAAATGACCCCTGGCCCAGTGCAAACGTCTGAGCTTGTGGAGCTTGCTTAGAAATGGCTTCCTCTTTGCACTGTAGAGTTTCAGCTGGCAACGGCGGATGGCACGGTGGATTGTGTTCACTGACAATGCTTTCTGGAAGTATTCCTGAGCCCATTCTGTTATTTCCTTGACAGTGGCATTCCTGTTTGAGGTGCAGTGACGTTTAAGGGCCCGGAGATCACGAGCATCCAGTAGAGTTTTATGGCCTTGACCCTTACACACAGCGATTGTTCCAGATTCTCTGAATCTTTTGATGATGTTATGCACGGTTGATGATGATAACTTAAAAGTCTTTGCTATTTTACACTGGGTAACACCATTCTGGTATTGCTGCACTATCTTTCTGCACAACAATGGTGGAATTGGTGATCCTCTTACCATCTTGGCTTCTGAGAGACACTGACACTCTGAGAAGCTCTTTTTATACCCAATCATGTTGTCAATTGAGCTAATTAGTGTTAAATGGTCTTCCAGCTGTTCGTTATATGATCAGTTTCTTTTTTCCAGTCACTTATTGCTACTTGTCCCAACTTTTTTGGGATTTGTTGACACTGCGAAATTTTGAAACAACATATTTTTCCTTTAAAATGTTACATTTACTCAGATTAAACTTTTGATCTGTCATCTGTGTTATATTACGAATAAAATATTGACATTTGTCATCTCCACATCATTGCATTCAGTTTTTATTCACAATTTGTTTAGTGTCCCAACTTTTTTGGAATCCGGTTTGTATATTTGTGTTTTATTTTGAAATTTGTTCCCGGAAGTTTGGTTCAACAAATGCAAATTTCAGAAATCCATGACGCATGCGCACTTTGGCTTCTAATGAAAGGGCTCGCGGTGGGAATTTAACGGTGATTTGGTGCAAATAAATACCATCGGCTGATTGACGGTAACGAAACGTATAGTGTTAAATATAATTGTAAAATACTCATCCGTAGACTGCGTTTATATTATTACAAGTGTTAAAAATGTAACATTTGATTTCGAAGCTTGATATATTTATGTTTTTATCGGTCGTGTAGAAAACGCTGTTCTCGTTAAAATAAATGGACATGTTGTTGTTGTTGTCTCCGTTAAAGGAACCGTCGCCATCATGGCGTCCAGTGGATATTATGCAGCGGTGGTTCTTCTGGCCGTGCAGCTCCTCTGTGTCGGTGCTGCTGATGCTGAGGAGGCCGGGACCGTCATCCCAGCAGAAAGTAGGTGGACACACCTGGAACATCTGGCCTTTAATTAATTAATTAATTAATAATAACACCCGCCACTGTTAATTCATTATATATGTTTTATGTATTTTAAATGAACGAGTTTATTACATTTACATAATTAAAACATCAGTTGCATTCACAATATACAACCAAGCTGAATGCTTGTTTATACTCTTTAAGTGTCAAAGTAAAAAAAAAAATATCTCACAGAAATCCTCAAAACATATCAAAAAATATTTTCTCTGATCCTAACTCACGTTACATTATAGTAAATTTCTGAAATATAAACTTGTTTCTAAACCATCTTCCACTCATACTGAGACCATCCTATAACAAAAACATAACCTTTAATCATAATAACCCTTGTCATTTATATTGTTCTCCCTTTAATAAAAGAAACGTTGACTAGGACCAGGAAGTTAGTGTTTTCACTGAATAAAATATATATTTATTTTGTTTTAAAACACAATATCTGTACAGTTTGAACACCTGGAGTGTTATCATAAGAGACTTATTGTGTTACTCTTAATTGCTCTTTTAGGTTTAATTATTGGGTTTATATTTGTAATAATGTATCCACCATTCTATAGTTGCAATCATTAACAGGGTTTTGTCATTTGTTTATCTGTGTAGATTATTGCTAATGGACATTTTCATTTTTGATTTGTTTAAATTATGTCATTAGTATTTTTATTAGACTTTACTTGTGTAATATAGTCTTATCACTGTCCTTCCTGTGGGACAAGTTCAGGACTATTCTCTAATTCCTCCTGTTTACTCGATCATCTAATGGACAGTGTTTTTTATTATTATCCTGCTTGTCTCATGAGGCAGCAATGAGCAGTTTTCCTCATGCTGCATAGGTCTGCTGCCATAAATATACTTAATTTTGTTTTGATACGAAGACTATTTGTGACAAATAACCAGACACGCCTTTCTGACCTGTCTCCAGGTCGTCCATGTGTGGACTGCCATGCCTTTGAGTTCATGCAGAGGGCACTGCAGGATCTGAAGAAGACCGCTTTCAACCTTGATGCCAGGGTCAGTGAAACTGTGCAGTGGGTGCACACTTTCTGTGTCCTTCCTGTGTTTGTGTCCCCACTTCCTACAGCTGTCCATGGACTCAGTCTTAGGTCAACTGGTGACTCTAACCTGTGTTAGCCCTAAACAGACTGGTGCTCATAAAATGTACGAAGATTCTCGCTTAGGAATTCTTTCTCATCTCAGTATAAAATATTCACTCACGTTATGAAATGCCGATTCGTAAAAATGATCTATTTAAGGAAAAAAAAGTCAGTGTTTGTGAAATCTTCACTTCATTGCAAGCTCCTGTTCTGTGCAGCGTGTTGACAACAGTGGGAAGGAAAGACTCCCTTTTAACAGGAGGAAACCTCCTGCAGAACCAGGATCAGGATGGGCAACATCTGCGTCGACTGGCTGGAGAAAGAGAGGACAGGAAGGAGAGACAGACAAACACAGATTGACAGGTCCAGGTGTAGTCGCTATGGGAAGAAAGACAAAAAAACACATGTTAAGGATAGAAATAATTACAAATATAAGCAGGTAGAGTGGAGTAAGTAAAGACAGCAGCAGTGAGGAAATGAGGTCAACTTGTCCTCCAGCAGTCTAAGCCTATAGCAGCATAACTAAGGGATCGCTCAGGAAACCCAAGCTGACCCTAACTATAGGATTTATCAAAAAGGAAAGACTTAAGTCCAGTCTTAAAACTGGACAATGTGTCAGCCTCATGGACAGAAACTGGAAGTTGGTTCCACAAGAGAGGAGCCTGAAGACTGCGAGACTTTTCAGAGTCGTTCAAACATCCAGGCAATAAAGAATTCAGAAGTCTAGAAGCGATAAAAGCACAGAGCAGTTTTTCTGCGTCGTGTTTCTAATTTTAGTGGTATTGCACAGGTGGAAGAAAACAGTCCTGATAAAAATTTGAAGACATATACTCATAAAAAAATAACACAAAGTTTCCTTGTGTTAGTACTGCGAGCCAAGTTAATGCCACTCAGAGTGAGTGAAAAGCTGCAAAGTTTGCTCCTCAGACGCTCGGGTCTAAAAAACACAACCTCCGTCTTGTCTGAGCTTCATTTCTAAAGTGAACTCCGATAACTGTGGAGGCGGCTGCCAAATTGGCAGAGGTGCATGGCCTAGAATACAGTTCTGCAAACTGTGCACACAAAAAATAGGCTGTAATTTTTTAGTCATCCAACTTGCTTGGTCATCATTTGTGAAACTGCAACTCAAGATTCTGGGTGGCCATCAGTCGCAGCCCCGTGAGGTACAGGAGTCCCTCCATGATCGTGGGGGTTACGTTCCAGACATCACCGCGATAGAGTAGGAACGCTATATTTATTTTAGTATTTATAAATGTTTTAAGGCTTTAGAAACTCTTCCCACACTATTGCAATGTTCTAAACTCTTAAACCTACGTCATTTTAACAACATATGCATATGTACTGTAGAGTACTGGTAAATTTTACTCACCAGCTCTGCAGACCAGCAGCTCAGTTCTGGTTCTGCAGTAGAGCTGTCATTTCTAACCCGGGCCTGAAGTCCGGCCCGGCTCAAATTCGGGTCGGGCCAGGCCATGATAATGTGCTGGATGGGTGGGCCGGGTCAGTGTCAGGCTTTTGATTGCGTCAGCGGATCAGCCATGATTCAATTAGATGGCAACATTGCTTGCCATACAATCACCAGCCGCATGTGGCCATTTCACCGTGAGCTGACCGGCCTTGAAAGAGGAAAAATAAAGTTCAGTTCAGCTTCAGATGGGACTAAACTGTCAGGCAGCGATCCATCGCCCAAATGGACGTTCAGCTGCTGCGCTCAGTGGACGCGCGCGGCTGACGACTCAACCAAAGCAGACATGTCCGAGCAGGGTCCGTGTCTGAATAATGCAGAATGCAGACAGAAGCAGGGATTTAATGCACTTTGACAGCCATGAAAGGACAAACACCCCCTCAGCTCCGATCTTCTACCCCATTAGCCGCGCACGTCCACTGACCATTAATAACTATATAAGCAGTCAAAGCTTAATTAAAAATGTCAGGATTTTTTTCAGGTTCTGTAATTACTGTTAATTCGTTGGGTCGGGTGGGGTTCGGAAATGATGGTGGGTACGGGCTGGGGCCGGATTGTATTCTTTGGGCCTGAATGCAATTCTACCTTGCAGCGACAAAGCTCACCGCCCCGTCCAGGTTGATGTGCACGTGGATAATTGGTCTTCAGGATTCAACCATTTTCAGTCAGGTCATCTGGACAGATTCTTTTTTTTTTTTTGTGCTGAAACGTTTCACCTTCCATCCAGAAGGCTTCATCAGTCAAGGAAACACACAACACAAAACTGATTCTTCCCCCAAACAGCTTACTCCAAAGTGGAACAAACCAGTTATGTTGGTGCTAAGATGGTCTCTTTGGCACGCCCCCTCCTCCGGTGCCGGCCCTCTTCCTCGTCGACAGTCATGTCAAACTGGTTCAAAACCAACAAAGTTTGTTGATCTTCAGGGTTATTTGTGACTTTCCTGCCCATTTTGTGAGCTTCATAGATCGATCGTTACTTCTGATTTTGCGTTGCAAAACTTTCCCCCCATTTTGGCAAAAAGCAGCAGCTGGAATCACTGTTGGCTTCTGGGTAGTGTAGTTCTGTTGACGTGCCTGTAGGCTTAGTGAAAGAAAACAATAAAATGGCAGCACCTGTCTGAAATGTTTTTCCCTCCCAACGTTAACTTTTTAATCCCGTACCGTCCCAATCACATGAGTAATATTAACGTTGACAGTCTTGCGTGGAAAAACCGCGAAAGAGCGAGTCTGCAAAAGTCTAACGGTGAAGTAGCGAGGGACTACTGTACTGGCGTTAGCAAACAGAAAACCAGCTCTAACCCAGTTCTTTGTACACATTTTGAGCTGAAACTGGGTATGAAGGTAGATGAGAGTCATCTCCAACACATACTCTGAGCACTTCTTCTTTGTTCAGAGCTTTAGCATGCAAGGTGGCGTCGACATGCATTCAGTGACTGGTTCTTTTTAACGTATTTTTTTGTCTTTTTGCTCTTTTGCAGACAGAGATGTTGGTGCTGAGGGCTGAGAGGAGGGCTCTGTGCGACTGCATGCCCAACTCTCTGCTCTGAGCTCCGGCTGCCCAGAAACACCGACAACAAACCCGCTCCACACCTCTACCCGTGTACAGCGATCCTCATCCGAACTACACAAACAGGCACTTTATTTTATTCCATTTGTCACATCATCACCGTTAGGCGAAGCTATAAATCCTGTCATCGTTAGGCCTTATTCAGGACGACTCTCATGTTTGTGAACCACACGTTTTCTGCGTTCTCAGCTTTCACCCGTCTCATGAAGCAGAAACAGATTTGTACTCGTTAGTAACTCTGACTGTACGATGTAGATACAGTAAACCGTGTCTGTAAAGGGTTGTCGTATGAGATTATTGTTTACACACTTCAAACTGTAGCATCAGAGCTTATTTAGCTGTGCGTAATAACAGCAGTTTGTGGAGTCATTTAAGACATGGTTATGAATCAGACTGTAATTTTACCAGTTTAATATAGTCTGCAGGGGTGGTTGAGTCTTGACTTGCAAATAAAGTTTATTGTTCTTTAAGGCAGATTAAATAAAACTTGTAGGTTCTTATTTAGCACAGCAGTGTAGCATGAATTCACAGCACTTTCTCGCTCACTTGTTAATAACGACTGTGTGTGTATATAAATGATGTAATGGACGTGTCACGGCGGCGTCTGCAGACGGAGGCAGAAAAGGTGATGAACTAGGTGGTGTTGGGTGAACTGCAGCATCAGCAGCAGAAGGAGATGCGCTGAACTGCAGCAGGGAGGAAAAAAACCCAGAGGAGGAAGTAATAACTCTTTTTTTAACTTTGTTGTGAACTTTGTTAATGTGCCACAAGGAGTCCCCATTCACTGTCTTCATGTTGTACCCACAAATAAAAACATAAAATCACCGCTTCTCCTTCTCTTATTTTATCTGACTGAGAATTGGAATAAATGGTCCAGGCATTTTGAGGTTAATGGGTCAAATATTGCTTATTGGACTGCAGATGTTTTGAAAGTCTTGATGAGAAACAGGACCGTAAATAAATAAGAGCTAAAGTTTGTCTCAGCTGGAGATCAATTCAGAAAGACTCATTTTGGGTTTGAGACAATTCGCCGGTACGGCTTGAATCAAGTTTTAAATGATTGCACCTTTTAACATAAATAAACAATACTGGAGAAACTGAATGTTGACTGACAGCCAAAATCTCCTGAAGCAGCTAAAACTTAGTTAAAATATGGGGAAAACAAACAAACAAACAAAAAAAAAAAACAGCAAAACATTAATAAAAGCAAAAGTAGCTAAACACAAGCTAAAGTAGCAAAATATATGCTAAAGGTAAAGGCTAGCTAAAAATAGAAAAGGTAAGTATTTAAAAGCTAAACTTAGCGAAGCTAGCTAATAACAAAGTAGCACAAGAGTACATTTTTTTATTTATTATTATTGGTTATTTATATATAGACAAGTGAAGTATTAAATGCCTTTCACTATAACAGTTAAAAGCAGCAAAAGACTAGCTAAAAACCAAAAGTAGCAGAATGGTTGCTAAAAGTTAAAGCAGCATAAAAAGACAAATATATAGCAACTAAACTGATGAGTGCCTTTGAAGGATTTGGAGATCTGAATGTATTTCTATGGCGGGAATCATTGGCGTCAGAAGCATTTGTAATGTGTGTGTGTGTGTTGGGGGGTGGGGGCACTGATGGGGGGGGGGGGGTCTGGGAATCTTCCCACAGAAAATTTTGAATAAAGTAGATGCCATCTCCTGCATTCTGGTGTATTTTAATGGGTTGTTAAACATCTTTGTTTACCTAGATTTGTAAACACTTAATTCAACAAGTAATTTAAAGCATGGCACAACAAGAAGTAGCCTGACCAACAGCTCCCCTTGTGTGAACAGAGCACGCTCTGCTTCTCTCACTTATTACAGAAACGGACAGGAGGTTTTGTACAGCTGGAATTTAAAGACCTAGCAATGTATATATTGTAGTCGGCGTGAGTTAAAGTTTGATTACAATGTACCTGTTCAAAGGGGGTGGCCTGGACCCTGGAGTCCACAGGGGGTCAGGGGAGATCAACAGTGTCCAGAGAGTTACTCAGTAAGATGAGGCTGAGGGCGGCAGAGTTGAAACAGCTGGATAATAAGCAGTTCCACGCTGATCTCAAAGTTGTAAAATAAGATTTGCGACGGGGAAACAGACGAATGTGTCCGAACTATTAGCTCTGAGAAGTGGGCATTTCTGAGCTGACACACACAGGTAAGCTCTTCTGTCCAGCCAACCCATGAGTTCATTTAAAATAAAACTAGATGTTAAATCAGAAAAAAACAAATCTGTGGAAGAAAAACAAAACATCTGACTATCCTGATGCATTCACTCCTTGGTCTTCTTGTATCGCCTCCCACATGTCAAGTCGTCAGTGCAGTTACGGCGTGCGCTCTCAAGACATCATTACCTGCAGCGTCCCCTCAGTGCGGACTGAAATCGACAAAAAGGCCTTTTCTTACTCCACTCCTGTAACCTGTAACACTTAGCAAAAAAATCTTAAAATGGTGACTTTGGCCTCTCTAAGGGATTTTAAACAACTGTTAAGTTCAATGCAGGCACACTCCTGTTTTTAGTATTTTACCTCATTTCATAATGTACCTTTTTATTTAGTCTTATATCACTTGCTTTTAATTTTATATGCATTTTATGGTTGCTTATTGTTGTGTATGTTATCTGTGGCTTTGTCTACAACTGGTCTCTTATCAATGAGTTGACTGAATTCACAATAATCCAGGTAGAAAAATCTAACAAATTTGAGTCAGATCCTCTGGACAGATACTTAATCTGACTTAACTTTGTTAGATAAAACATCTGAAGTGGCAAAACTTTCTGTCAGGGAGGTAAAGATGATCCTCGACGGGGGCGATCCGCTCGTCAATAAATCCACGAAAAAGACTTTTACTTTGTAAAATAAATGCATGTAGTAAAAACATTTTGCAGGATGTTTGGCTTTTAGTAACGGGGACTATGGAGGTTGTAGATGACTCTCAGCGACTACCACACCAAACTTCAAATCATTATTTATAAAACTCACAGTTACATAAAATGTCTGATCATCTCTAGCAGCTGTGGAGTGGTCTTTATTAAAAATGTGTGTTTAGGTTTAAACAGCTGTAGTGTGCTGCTGTTTTAGCTAATGTCCAAACACACACACACACACAGGATGCACCTTTTTGTTTAGTCACAGCAGAACTCCCTCCTCAATCCTGCAGGAGTCTCATCTGGACCAGCAGGAGGAGTCCTGAGTGAAGGCAGGCTGGCAGCTGTCGCAGCGATGCAGCACTCTCTGCTGCCCTGCAAACAGCTGGACACCCAGCTACGGTGAAATACTGTAAATGGAACCAGAAAGGGAAAACTCAAAGGCTCAGCGGGTTGATGGAGAGCCTGCAGTGACCTGGCAGGATTCTCCGCCCAGAGACGACATGATGTTCTGCACTCTCAAGCTGCTGTCTGCAGGTTTAAACATGAGGGCACACAGTTTAAACTGAATCACTCTCACTCGTTCACTCCTCACCCTCTCTCCCACTCAACTGTTTGTTCACCTGCTTCAGCAAAAGGTCCAAATCCTGCAGACTTCAGATCCTTTAAGGCTTTTTAAAAAAATCTCCTGCTGCCTTTGCACAGTCCTGTTGGACATCTTGAAGCACATTAGGGAGCAGTCCGTGTGAAGTGAGTCTGAAAAATGAATGAAACATGAATATTTAGTGCCCGCCATCGCAGAAGTCCAGTTCATGTCTCTGTGTGTGTTTCTGCCATGTCGGCAAAACATCTCTCGAACCACTGTGCAGATTTTAATGAAAAATCCAGATATTAACCATCAGATATGCATCTATTGAAAACCCAAATCAAGATAGATGTCACAGTTAATCAATTTCAGCTAACCCAAGGATAGCTCTAACCATGAGAAAGTTACCATTACTGAGCTTAAACTGAATGTGGTAGCAGCTACAAGTCATCCCCAACACGTACTCAGCATGGCATTTACAAGGTTTGACCAAATGGCTCATCGTAAGATCACTTTAGATTTAAAGTCTAACATAAAAGGCAGCGGGCGATATGCATTCTTTCAAGGAATGCTAGGATTTTATGAAGAATTTGACTTGTTATAAATTTTAAGTTTGGTACTTTCAATTAAACATTCTGTTGGGACAGACAAATTAAGATGGAAACAACTTATAACTCTGCATGATGCTTCTATGATACGTACCATATTTTCTGGCGTATAAGTCGCATCAGTCAAAAAAAAGCATCGTGAAGAGGAAAATATCAACCATATAAGTCACTTTGGAGTATAAGGCATTTATTCTGAAATAATAACACACAGAACATGCTGGATCCTTCCAGCACCCATGAGTGCACTCTTAACTCCAGCTCTGGCCATTTTGCTTTCATCCCACAATTATCTCTCTTTGTTTTTTTTTTATCACGGCTAGAGCGACCTCCGCTTTTCATCAGTCCCTGACCAGTTTCTCACTGACTCCAAACTTTCCATCTGCTGCCCGATTGTCATTTGGCTGCATATTTAATTACCTGCAGTTTATATTCAGCAGAATATGATCTACTTTTTGGTGGCATTTTGCCGTTATGCTTTGCTCTGGTTTTGTCTTCTCTCTGTACTGTACTTGCTGAGTGAATGTTTGGTGGTGGTGGTGGTGGGATTAGCGTACAGAAACAAAATGCTGTATATGTAATACTACAGATAGTTGTCAAGAGCCTAGAGGACCCTCTCGCACCTCTAGCGGCTGCAAATTTACTCTGGTTCATGTCAGTATGAATGAACATTTTAGAGTCAGAGATTCTTTATTGTCATTCGCACCACGTGTGGTACATGTGGTGGAATGAAATTATGTACACAGGGTCCCAGTTACATCCAACAATAAAATGTATAAGAAAAACAGTAATAAGATCTAAGATATGAACTAAGAATAACATAATCTAAAATACACTAAGCACTAGTAGCATAAAAACATTATGTCAAACAGCAGCACGAACATGAGTCAGTGTGAGCAGATGAGCACGCATGAACACCATCCATCCATCCATCCATTTTCTTTACCCGCTTATTCCATTTTGGGTCACGGGGGTCGCCGGTGCCCATGTCCAGCAATCACTGTGCGAGGGGCGGGGTACACCCTGGACAGGTCGCAAGTCCATCACAGGGAACGCATGAACACATCAACATGAAACAGATCAGCAGCAACATGATGTGATTTTTCACAGTGACTATTCTGATTAGAGATTCATGAGTCTAACGGTCTCAGGGTAGAAGCTGTTCCTCAGTCTAGTGGTTCTACACTTAATGCTCCCCAACCTCCTGCCTGAGGGGAGCGGGGCAAAAAGTGTGTGTGCTGGGTGAGTGTGGTCCTTCATGATGCAGGTGGCTCTCTTCCTGCATCTGGAGGTGTAGATGTCTGTGATGGTGGGGAGGCTGACTCTAACAGACTTCTGTGCAGCCTTCACCACTCTCTGCAAAGCTTTTCTTCCTGCAGCTGTGCAGCCTCCATGCCACACGTTGATGCTGGAGCACAGGATGCTCTCCACTGCACACCTGTAGAAGGAGGTGAAGACTGAGCTTCCCAGACCAGCTCGCCTCAGCCGTCTGAGAAAGTAGAGTCTCTGATGAGCTTTCTTGATCAGGCTGGTGGTGTTGTTGCTCCAGCTGAGGTTGTTATTCATGTGTACACCCAAGTACTTGTAGCTGGAGACCACTTCCACCGCAGATCCTCTTATGTTCAGGGGGGTGTAGGTGAGTTTGTTCCTTCTGAAGTCCACATTCATCTCCTTTGTCTTCTTCACATTGATGTGAAGGTTGTTCTCTTTGCACCAGCTCTCCAGGTGTTCCACCTCTTGCCTGTAGCTGGA